AGGTGGCGGCGGTTGCTCCGTTGTGGCAAGAAAGAGTCAAGAACGTCCGGCCTCAGTTTCTTTCCGTGTTACAGGGATTCCTGAGGCAGAGGGATAGGCTGCAAGGCTGCCTGCCGCCTAGCTGGTGACTGAGGTTGCAGCAGGCTAAGCCATCATGCAAAATGTGACGAGAGGCAGTGTCTGCCCAAAAACGTTTGAGAAAAAAAGCAGCTTAGCAAGTAGATAAGTGGTTAACAGAGTCACTTGAAACTAAGTTACAGGATGAGCAGCAGCATCGTGGGAATCTGCAAGGCTGCTTCCCTTGCAAACCAGAGGAAACATCATCTGATTTTCCTCATCATCATATGAGGAAAGTTTCTAGGAGAGCTGTATATTTATGGACCAGCTGGTGAAGGCTGTGCTGTTGGAGGTCATAAGACAAGACTGTGTGTAGAAGCTTCTCAGCTTTTCCAGCAATGTCATCTGCCAGCAGAGGCAGTTTCTCCTAGCCTTACTCAAATCTCCGATGACTTTGAGGCATCACATCCCAGTGCTGTAGGAGTTCAGAAGGGCTCACAAGATGTGGAAAAGGCAGGATTAGGTAGTAGGAGCCCAGTCGTTCCAGGCCAGGGAAATCAGAAGTGGCTGCAATTACTTACTGGAAGCTTTTATGGCATAGAACCACTGCCTCCATTTAGTTGCTGGCAGCAGCTCCCTTCCTCCACGACAAGAGAACTGGAGGGGAAGTGAAGGACAAGATTGTACTTGTTGCAGCTCTCCCAAGCCACATGGATGAGCACTGAGAATGAAGATGAAACCTCATTTAGCCGTTTCAGATGGATGTCAAAGTTCCTGTGTGCTCTTTGTATTCTCCCACAGTTCCTCCTGTCTAGATTCTGGTAGGGACTTTCGGTGACTTCATCCAAGCATCAGGTGTACTAAGTGCTAAGAAATGTCAGTTGTGGGATAAAAGAGTCCTAAGAATTGCCATTTAAATTCTTCATCATAGTAAATTTTTCAGGAATTCGATTTTTAAAAAAATATATATTTGGTGCTGGTTAACATGTTTTTAAAGCTGGCAAATGTCACTGATGACTTCCAAATTTCCAGCAAATTTATCAGTGTTGCTGAGCAAGACACATTCTAGCAATGCACTTCCTTGCAAGTACAAGTGTTTCTCTACTTACCCTTTTTTTTTCTTTTTTCTTTTTTTTTTTTTTTTGGCTTTGAAGAACTCTGTTCGCAGTAAGATTCCATTACCATTTCAAAAAACACTTTTGAATATATGCACAAATAAGTTTTAAATCGTAATATGCTTAAGCTGGGTGCCCATGGCTGGCTTGGTAATGCTGTTCATGTGCATTTCATTACCAGCATGGCTCACCTGGAGCAGTTAATGCAATGCTTCATAGTAAATTGCATCCTTCATATTATTTATTAATTTGAGGTCGATCAAAACATTATTCTCTTGAGTTGTTTTCTCTCACTATGTATTGCACCAGAAATTACCTTATTTAATTACTAAATATCCTGAATTTTGCCAAGTACAGAGATTATTTCTTGATAGCATTAAATGCACAACTAAGGACATTTTTTTTTCTCCTTTTGGCCATGTTTATCTTAGTCTCTAACATTATGAGAAATGTCAAATCACTTTAGCCAAGTGCAATTACTGTTTAATGTGTCTAAATGAAAATATTGTAATACGAGGACCATAAAATGTTTTAGTACTGGGATTTAGAAAACATTTGTTATAATAATTAATTTATACTGTGTACTGTACAATTTTAAACACTGTATAAAAATGCAATTTAACCTACTGGAAGCATGCTATTATTTGGATCTGGCATACAGGATTCAGCTTTTTTAATATAAGAAAGTAACAAGTTAAAAACAACAGAGATTTGACAAATATGCATCTTAAAGCAAAAGAATCTTTATCTCTCAGCCATAGACCACCTCAACTAATTTGATTACAATCATTATTTATCCAAAGAATAATAATGGGTTTTATCAATATTTTGTCCTTTTACATCTTTCTCTTAGCCAGTAAAAGGTATCAAAAAATCATGACTAGAGTGACAAAATGTAAATGCACAGTCCAAACAGAAATCACTTAAAAGTAACAATACCTGAATATCTAATAGGCCAGATTCTATTGGTGAAATTATCCATGAACAGTCAGAGACAACATAGAGATTCGTATAAGACAGAATTCATGTGGAATCACTTAAAAAACAATCCATTGATACAATACAATTCCCTCAGTAATGTGCTTTAAAAAATACTATGAAAGGCATAAAAATAATGCATTAGTCTCCTATATTACTATCACTAACATAAAATAATCAACTTCTAAACATGCAAAATTGTTAATAATTGCTGTCTTTCATCATAAGTCCATGTCATTTTATTCATCTTGCTGTTAAGAAGTGACCTTTTCTTTGTGTATCCCTCCTTTTCACACAAATCCTCTGAGTGACAGAATCTCATCCTAATCCTGTTTCCACTTAGAAGTTACAAAAAAGTATTGCAGACCTTAGAGGGAATAAGTAATCACAATGGAAAGATAATAATATGTTTATGGAATCTGGAATTTTGTAAAAGCAAATTGAAAAATTACAGCCACGGAAGATCAATGTTACTACTAATGCAAAGCTGTCAATCAAATATTTTCAAACTTTCATAGTTAGGGCTGTGTTTTAATATAGAGCACCTCTATTTCAGAGAGCCTCTCTCTTCTGAGGTAATTCCTCTTAGTGATCACATAAAATCTGGTGATAAAAGCAATAGTTGTTTCTATGGAAAAGCCATACTATAAAAATATTTAGTGTATTTTAACTGTCTCCAAACCAGTGTGTAACACCTAAAAACACAGAGCTACTGCTCCAACTGAATGACTCACTGTGA